AAAGCACTTTCCCCACCATAACTACAGAATATATGCAGCACATTTAGGCAATGGTTCAAAATAAGAGGGAATCAGTGAATAAAAAGAGGGATGTGAGGAAAGTATGGATAAAAGATATATATATATATATATTTGTGTGTGGTGGGGGAGGAATATAAAGAAAGTGATTTTGTATGAGGGACCCTGTATGGTGGATTCTTGTCCTAGAGTAAAGTAACTGGGTGTTTGAGAGGGAGACGGTGTAGGACAGGTCACAAGGTTCAGACATGTCAAGGATGGTATGTGTGGGTGATAATGGGGTTTGTGAAAGGGAATTTGTGAGGAGAATTTTGAGTGTGATTTAGCTGGCTATGACTGAAGGAAAACTGTTTGTGGTAGACTTTCTAGAAAATGGTCTAGGTGTTAGAGCCAGCTTTGCTTAAGGTATTAATTTGCTAACTTACCAGAATTTTTGCTTTTCAATTCTGTGATTTATTTCTTTTGAAAGCTTCTCAGATTTGTGTAACTCTCTCCTTTAGCTTTTTTGTCAGCTCCTGTGACTTGTTTCTTCTCTGGTTCTGACTGCTGTTATGGCCTGATACTAAAGTGTTTTGCCTCAGAGGTCTACAGGAACACTGTTTCCCCCAAGTATAGCTTGATTTGATGCTCTTGGTTTTTCTTGATATATAAACTTATTTTTAGCTTTTAATATTTGACTCCTATATTGCTTAAAATAGTTTTAAGCCACCTCCATTCCTCTCTGGCCTAAAATATTTAATTGGCTATAAGTCTTTTGACTTGTAAGTTCCCTGGCCAAAGGAAATCCTACAGAAACCTAAAAAACTAATTCAGGCCATGATGGGAAATAGTGAGTTGGACATACTTCACTATGCCACCCCTGCTCTTGGAATTTAGGCCAGGTTCAAAAGGCCTTTCAAAATTATGAAAATAAAATGTTGTCCTTTCCCACAAAGAAAAAAAGAGTTCCTCTGTTTAACCAGACTTAGTCTTAGTAAAAACTTAAAAAGAAAGATCCCCTGATGATCAATTACAACCCAAAATGGAAGGACCCCTATCAGGTATTATTAAGGACCTCCACTGCTATCAAACATCAGAGGATCACTAGCTGGGTACAGCTGTCCAGGATTAAACCTGTTTCTTGTAAGTCCCTGCAGGCATAAGAGGAAGACACCATAAGTAATCCTTACAAACCTCTAGAAGACTTAAAGCTATTATTTCACAAACACACAGATAAATAATGTGATGCTGTGGGTGGGCATAGGAGCATTAAGTTTTCTCTTCCTTCTAATTATAATTTTCTTGTTTAACCTCCTAGTAAAGTTTTTATCTTCTAAAGTCAATATAAAGATGATGCTGGCACAAGGCTTCCAATTCATCTTATCTTCTGACCCAGAAAATGAAAACATCCTGCTGTTGGGCTCCTTACATCAGTATCTGGAGATTTTTACTCCTCCCATGCTAGGCAGTGCCTATGTTTATAAAATCAGCAGGAAGCACTTACAGAAGATAGACCTGTGCCCATCTGCAGCCCTTTAAGATTAAGGAGGAGTTTCTAATCTGAGGGGGGGGATGAGGTAGGAGACCAATAGGACTTGTTTTCTGGTGAAAACTCTGCTGAACAAAACAAGATCTAGTCCAGATGGGGCAAAGTGAAGAAACTGGCCAAAGCCAGCAGATGGCAATAAAAGCGATCTCTAGCGGAGCTCAATGCTCATTGGCATAAGACATTGCCACCAGAACCATGGCAGTAAACAAATATCATGGCAGCGACTCAAAGGTTACCACCCCTTTCCATGGCAGTGACCCAGAAGTTACCCTTTCATAGACTCAATTTGTGTTAACTCACCCTTTAATTTGCATGTAAATGAAAGTAGGCATAAGTGAGTATAAATACAGTTGCCAAAAGCCCATAACTTGCCAACTCTGGGTGCACTGCTTATGAGTCAGCCCTGCACTACAAGGGGCAGTACCAATCAATAAAAGATTGCTGTCTAACACCACCATCAGGCTCTTGAATTCTTTCCTGGGTGTAGCCAAGAACCCTCCTAGGCTATGCCCCAATTCTGGGGCCGGCCTGTCCTGTATCACCCTGATAGAAACATACCTTCTCCCACTTATTCAATCAAATGCTAATCTAGGTGCTACTGTGAAGGGCTTTTGCAGGATCCTGAATCAGCTGACTTCAAGGTCCAGAGATTTTTTCTCAATAAGACTAACCTCATCAGATGAGCGCTCCAGAAGGACAGGGCTTTTCCTGGCAAAGGAAATTTGCAGTGTGACAGGGATAAAACATAATGGAGTTTTCCATTACTGTTTCTGATGGTGGAGGAGGCTGTGTGGCAAGGAATGTGGGTAGTCTCTAGGAGCTGAGAGTGGCTCCTAGCTGACATCAGGTAAGGTAATTCAGTCTTTAGTCCTCAGCCCCAATCACAAGTGAGTTGTGCCACAATCATGTGAGCTTAGAAACATGAACTCCTAATGAGAATGCACTCTAGCCAACACTGTGTTTTCGGTCTTTAGTTTAAATCCTGAGCAGACAAACTAGTCATAAGGTGCCCATCTTCTAACCTAAGAAATGTGAACTAACAAATGGGTGTGAAGCTGCTAAATTTGGGGTAATTTGTTACACAGCAAGAAAACAACAATGCAAGCACTAAACAGGGCAAGTCAGACAGCTTGATTTAGAAAAATGCAGTTAAGTTTATTGTAAGCCTTACATCCTACTTCAAGAAATATATCTAATATCGAGGACATCCAACATTACGAAGTCAAAGAAGGTTATTATCAGATTAGGCTATAGTGACAAAAATCCTAAGACATTTTAGAGCTTATTAACCACAGGGAAACCAGGAAATAAATATCATAAAAATACAATGAATTCTTACCAGGAGAAGATTTTTGATTCAGCACCTTTATTTGTGAAACCAGAGGCAGAATTAGGTAAACTTTAAGGCTCTTTCAGCAGTTTCTACAGTCCTTGTTAAGATACAGTCTTATACTTTATATAGACTTCAGAGATGCCTTAACACCAACCCAGTTTCTATAAATACTGAGAACTCACCTATCTTCTAATAAAATATCGCATCAGTAAGGGAATTTTTTTTTTAAGGTCCAAAGCTTTCCTTCATTTAACCAAAGGATCTTTATCACATAGCAAAATACCTAACCAAAGCAAGGTTTTCTTGCCACATAATAGTTACATTCAAAGGGGTCTTTTTTAAAAATCACATTTTTTAAAACTGAAAGTATGTGTATATGTACACAGGAAGAAAGTAGCTCATGAAGTCATACGCAAGGCAATAATTCTAACAACAACAAAAAAGGGAAACTGGTTCATGCTCTGAGAGCAAATGTTTACTCAACTTAAATCCTTATAAAATATTACATATTAGATATAAATGAGGCACTTAAATTACTGAACTCCTTTATTAAATTATGACCTAGGGAAAAAGTGGTAGTAACAGTTTAAAAGGATTGGCTTTTGCTATAAAGACACATGCACACGTATGTTTATTGCGGCACTATTTACAATAGCAAAGACTTGGAATCAACCCAAATGTCCATCAGTGACAGACTGGATTAAGAAAATGTGGCACATATACACCATGGAATACTATGCAGCCATAAAAAAGGATGAGTTCGTGTCCTTTGTAGGGACATGGATGCAGCTGGAAACCATCATTCTCAGCAAACTATCGCAAGAACAGAAAACCAAACACCACATGTTCTCACTCATAGATGGGAATTGAACAATGACATCACTTGGACACAGAAAGGGGAACATCACACACCGGGGCCTATTGTGGGGAGGGGGGAGGGTGGAGGGATGGCATTGGGAGTTCTACCTGATGTAAATGATGAGTCGATGGGTGCTGATGAGTTGATGGGTGCAGCACATGTATACATATGTAACAAACCTGCATGTTCTGCACATGTACCCTAGAACTTAAAGTATAATAAAAATAAATAAATAAATAAATAAATAAATAAATAAAGGATTGGCTTTGCACCTATACTACTTAATTTAATGTAACAGCCTGAGTAACTTCTTTAAAAAAATAGAAGAATCCATTATTTTTATTCTAATTGCTTTAAAAACAACAATCAGGACAGTACTTCTTCAAAGTTACTGTGTTGATGGTAACTGGAGTCTAACTAGTACTTGCTAAATAGCTAGAATGTACCTTCATATAGATGAAAATGTTGAAAACTCTGGAAGAATAAATTAGATGAAACAAAGAATTCCAAAGAAATCTAAAACTTCAATTCTCTAGAGAAATATGTTATAAGTAAGATACAAGATGGGGGAGTAGATATTGAAGAGTTATGAATCACAAGAAATGGTCCTTACTGAACCATAAGAAATAAAAATGTAAATAAAAGCTTTCCTTTGTTCTCTTAATTTCCTTTAGTTTAAGATCCTTTGTAGGACAGCTCTCTGGGTGGTCTTGGAATGACCCAGTTCTCTCTTCCCCCTCATAGCTCTCAAGAATAACTGTAGCATGTGCAGGAAATGCAACATCCTGAGACAGGGAGGGACTGGTTGGAACAGCCCAGGTTCTACTCCAGTCCTCCCCTAGAAACTCCAACACTTTAGCCCAGTGAGTCTCACATCCTCAGTGTATAAAACCCAGAACAGGGTGCCTTCCAGAGGCCCTCAGCTGCAGTGCAAGTGGGGCACATGCAGTCAAGATTCCATTCACCCTGGGCAGCTTTCCTGAATCTTGAGAGACTGGCTTGCAATGAATCCTAGGCTTCTGTTGTATCTTGCTGCCTATCTGGAAGTGGTAAACTTGCTTCGTATAACTTGTATGCAAGAATGTTCTGTCTTACCAGACTCAGACAAAATGGTAACCAGTCCACAGTGAACCTGCTTCACATTCTTCAATATCCTCTAAATGAAATACCGATTAGAAAGTAATTTGACAAAAACAAAAACCTGATAAAATCAAACGAACCAGTTCTTGATTTTATAATATCCACAATGCCTTCTCTCTTACCTTGTCTATCCTATCTGGGCGGTTAGTAGCTGCCAAAATGGTCACATCCTTTAGCTGTTCAATCCCATCCATTTCTGTTAAGAGCTGAGCCAAAACACGATCAGCCACATTACCAGCACCTAAAGAACTGATTTTGAAAATACAGTTTAAAAAATATCTTTAACCTATCTTCAAATACTATATCTATTAATTTTTAAAGGTTCTGTAGTCTATAACAAGAAAAACCATGTCTATTTTCAAATATGAAGTATGCCTTTGTGACTTTATTTACTGTATTATCATATCCCAAAACAAACTGTATTCAAATCATTTATTTTCCTCTATCATCAACCATGTTCATTTTCATTCCAAAACTAAAATATTTAAATAAATGTCAGAAATAAAAGCACTGAAAAATAAGATATAAGATTATTTAAAATAGTTCATCAAATACATAGAGAATTGTTCAATCAATGTTTATATTCTGCATGGTAAATATGTTGACAGAAATTAGGAATAAAAAACTGAGTAAGATGCAAACTCATTCCTCTCATGAAACCTAAAGTCTATGTGAAATAAAAAACTCATTACACATCCATAACAACCAGGATATTTCTCATGTTTCTTCATAAATATTAAGAATATTTTTAAAATACATCAGAAGGTAGGTAATCACCACAATCCCCATTTTTTGAGAAATAGGCAAAGAAAGCATGCAAGGTTTTTTCCATTGGTTTATGTATCAAGTTAATTACAAAGCCAGTTCTAAACACACTATCCTTTATTTTAACTTCATGTCCTTTGACCACAAAAAAATTACTAAAGTTTTTAAGAAATAAACTTGGGCCAGGCGCAGTGGCTCACGCCTGTAAACCTTTGGGAGGTCAAGGCAGGTGGGTCACTTGAGGCCAGGAGTTCAATATCAGCCTGGCCAACATGGCCAAACCCCATCTCTACTAAAAAAAATTAAAAAAATTAGTCAGGTGTGGTGGCATGCACATGTAATCCCAGCTATTCAGGAGGCCGCGGCATGAGAATATCTTGAACCTGGGAGGTGGAGGTTGCAGTAGGCAGAGATCATGCCACTGCACTCCAGCCTGGGGAACAGAGTGAGATTCTGTCCCCACCCCTCCCCCAAAAAAGAAGCAAACTCAACAGATCCTACTAATGAACAAAACCCTGTATGACACAATCAAAATGTGCAAAACAATTCTCATTAGCAATAGCTTAGATTTCCTCCAAGACCAATTGGAATTGATAAATATGTAATAAAGAACTGAGTGGACAACTATAGAGTAACACAGCATTGTAAGTGTATTAAACATGTAAATTCAATCAGATGCACTTAGGTGGAAGAGGATGTAAAGTAGAAGGAGACACACACCCAATAGCTTTGTTAGCACCTGTGACAAAGAAGGGTACCTCAGTATAATCATCATGTAATATATTTAATAATAAGGTAATCAGCACCTCTAAATGATAGTATTTAGACCTCAACATGCATTATAAGTTCAAAAATTTGACTTAGTGCATCCACAGGAGAGTAGCTGCTAACTCACACTAATCAAATGCACACGAGGTAGTCATACAAATCACTATGCTAATTTATTAATTTACATGGTTTTCTCCAGTATTTAAAATATATGGGACTAAAGAGTACTTGCAAAGTCAATGAGAACTGTTTCGGGCACTAACTCTTGCAAGTAGCTACTCTGTCAGTACACAAATTTGCTTATTTGACTGTACGTAAGAATAAACATTGAACACTATAAACAAATGGATTCTATGTCTGTATTAGACCGTTCTCACACTGCTATAAAGAACTACCTGAGACTGGGTAATTTATGAAGAGAACAGTATTTAATTGATTCACAATTCCACTTAACAGCAAGCATGACCGGGAGACCTCAGGAAACTAACAATTATGGCTGAAGGAGAAGAAGCAGCAAGGACTTTCTTCACATGGCAGGAGGAAAGAGAGAGAGAGCAAGAAGGGGTAAGTGCCACACACTTTTAAATCATCAGATCTCATAAGATCTCACTCACTATCATGAGAACTGCAAGGCGGAAATCTGCCCCCATGATCCAATCACCTCCCACCATGAGGATCTTCTTAGATCCTCCAACATACAGGGATTACAATTTGATGTGAGATCTGGGTGGAGACGCAGAGCCAAACACTATCAACACCCTTCAAAAGATTCTCCATAATATAACTTTTCCACATGAGAGTTTAACCGTCAAGTAGAAACACAGTTGGCAAAAGCTTTAGGAGGTCTTTCATAATTACTACAAGCATAGTAAATATTTCAGGCTGCCAATAAATTACATCAGAGGCCTTTAATTGTATCTACTCTGAGAATCACTTGTGATTCTATACCAGAAAAAACTCAGGAAGGCGATATGGACTGGTCTCAGGAGAGTCAAGGTGGGCTGAAATAAGAAAGATGGTTTCTAAGGTAAAACCTAAAAACTTGGTGGGTATCAGGCAAACAAAGGGTGAAAGGAGGGAAAGAGAGAGAACACAGGATACTAAAAACTGGATGAAGTGCACAATGGCTCAGCATAACAGTAAAGTGAAAACATAAAAGATAGTATAGAAAAATAAACCAAGGCTGAATAACAAAGACCTTGTTATCCAAATCACGGAGTTTGGATTTTACGCTACGGTTAATGAGATGTTTCAACTACAGACATGACCTAATCACATCTGTGTTTTTGAGAAACACCATGGTTGCTTGCAGTGTAGAGAAGAGACAATAAAAGGACAGTATTGGTCCAATTTCTGGCCCAGAATGTTAAGAGCTTGGAAGTCTTCACTCTGTCCTAAGAGTAAGTAAAAAGCTGAACAAACTGAAAAACCAACTCTTCTTAGATCCATCATATTAGTAAGGTCACAGGGCAAATCATTGCCCCCAAAATTGGACAGACAACCCAGGTACAGAAAATCACAACTTTCTGGAGCAGAAACCCACAAAGAGAAACCTCCATGAGAGCCAGTGCCAGGGTAGGAAAACCGGAAATGTAATTAACAAACTGCTGGGGGTTCAGTGTTTGACAAGTCTGAGAGTCGTAGAGCGGGGTCCCTCACACATTTGTGAGTTTTATCTTCAGGAACTACACCAGCTTCTCACAGTGAAGATCTGAGAAAAATCCCCCTGTGCTTCAGGCAGGGGGAAGGAAAAATACCCATTGTGAAATACACTAGAGCGCTCTCTTCTTAAAAAGGACTGCTCCTCAAGAGAAAATGTTTTCCCAGAGCTTATGTTATTGAGGTTTTATTAGAGACCAACTGACCCAGAAGAAGAGAAATACCCAACTTTAGTCCTCTCTAGCCTTTCCTATGGGAGAATGAAAATAAAAAACTCCAGCTCCGTCTAACCATCCTGTCCCACCTAAGGGGAGAAAATTGTGAAGTTCACAGTCCAAGACAAACTAAAAGACTGAGACCTAATCATAGGACCATGGAACTCTCCTTCAAATACTCCTCCCAACATCTTACCATTATATCACTAAAGCCCCATTTACTGCAGTTCATTTTATCCTGTATATCATGTCTGGCTATCAAAGAAAGATTACAAGGCCTACTAAGAGGGAAATACCACAGTTTGAAGAAATTGAGTACACATCAAAACCAAAGTCAAATGTGGCAGAAGCACTAGAAGTATCAGACCAGCAATTTTTTTAAAAACTATGATTAACATGTTAAGGATTCTAATGGACAAAGTAGACAACAAGTAAGAAACGATGAGTAATGTAAGCAGAGAGATGGAAATTCTAAGCGAGAATCAAAAAGAAATGCTAGAGATTAAAAGCACTGTAACAGAAATACAGATTACATCTGATGGGCTCATTAGTCAACTGGAAACAGCTGAGGAAAGAATCGCTGCACTTAAGGATATGTATATACAAACTTCCAAAACTGAAATGCAAGGATAAAGAAAGCTTTATAAAAACAAAATACTGGACTAGATTTAAAAAACAATAATAAAACCACACAGAGAACAGAACTAATATTTGAAGAAATATTCACTGAGAATTTCCCCAGATTAATGTCAGATACACATCCAGGAAGCCCAGGGAACACCGAGCAGAATAAATGTAAAAACAAACAAACAAACAAAAAAAGCTACACATAGGCAGAAAATCAAAGATTTTTCAAAAACCTTTAAGAAGTCACATGTCAAGGGGTGGGGACCACCTTACTTAAAGAGCAAGAATTACATTAACTTCTCCTCAGAAACCATGTGAGCAAAAAGAAAGTGAAATGAAATATTTAAATTATTGAGAGAAAAAACCCACCAATGTATAATTTTATATCCTGCAAAAACATCCTTCAAAAGTGAAGGAGAAAAATTTTTTCAAATAAAAGTAAGGAATTTGTTGCCAGTAGACGTGCCTTGCAAGAAATGTTTAAAGTTCTTCAGAAAGAAGAAAACTAATATAGGTCAGAAATTTTGATCTATATAAAGAAAGAGAAAGAAGAAATGAAGATAAAAACTTTAATTTTTCCTACTTTTAACTGATCTAACAAAAGTTTGTTCAAAACAAGAACAACAACGTATTTGATACCTATAGTTTGTGGACAAGTGAAATGAATGACAAAAATGATACAAGGGACATGGGAAGGATAACTTAGGAATATTTTGTTATTATAAGGTACTTGCACTACCTGTGAAGTGAACAGGGCTATTTGAAAGTAGAAATATATTGCAAAACTTAGGGTTAACAACTGAAAAACAAACAAAAGAACCCAAAAACCTTTACAGTCTAAGAAAAGAGATAAAATAACATAAAATGCTCAATTAAAGCCATGAAAGAGAAGAAGAAGAAATGGGAATGAAGAACAAGGGCAACTAATAGAAAACAGTAACAAATATGGTAGATATTAATCCAACCATATCAATAATCACTTTACACATCAATGGCCTAAATGCACCAATTAAAGAACAGAGATTGAATGAATAAAAAAAAAGAGACCTAACTATATATTGTTTACAAGAAACCCACTTTACCATAAAAAACAAATATAGTTTAAAAATAAAAGAATGAAGAGAGACGTACAATGCTAACACTAAACCAAAGAAAGCTGGATTGGCTATATTGATTCCAGACACAGCAGACTTCAAGCATGCAAAATTCTCAGAG